GAGTCCGTCCGCGGTTATCCCCGACGAAGGTTTCGCCTACGAAGACACAATTCTCGTCTCGTTGAACAATCTCCCGAGATCAACCGTGGCCGCGACTGTTCCGCGGAAACCACCGTGAATATCTATTCAGAGAGAGCAGGTAGTAAAAAAGATTTATACTCCGCGAGGGCGGAAGTGGTGAACAGGAAGAGACGCGAAGACACGATCGTAGAGTTATCTGGTAGGAAACAAAGTTTGTCTTTCGATGAAATGTGCAGTGAAGCTTCTTCTCGGACGAGGTTGGAAGGAACGCTTTGTTTGTCTTCGAATTTCTCAGTGTCCTCCGTTCGATCTATCGACACGAGAAACTCTATTACCACGGACTTAATCGGAATTAATCGGATTGTTGTCGAATCTGTCTGTTGAATCACGAAATTATCCATTCCCCTGAATTTTTCTATAGTTTCAATTATGAACTACATAATAATTAACGATATTGATAATGATAACAATTGATTCTGAACTAGAGAAATTCTGTCACGAACGGAATGAATCGGAACGATTGATCTGTTGAATCGCGAAATTATCTACTTTCCTAAATTTTTTTATAGTTCAATTATGAACTGAATAATAATAATCAATAACAAATGATAACAAAAATTATTGTGTAATAATAATTAATAACACTGATGATAATAATAATAAAAAACTTTGAACTATATAATAATAAATAGTGAGATTTACTTCTTGAATTTTTATGTTCAATTTTTTTAATTTTCACTGAATTGGACAGATTACGCTACTGCTTGTAAAAATCCGAACATTTCAGTTTATTCGTAGTGGCAGTGCACGCATTTTAGTAAAGCGTTGAAATGAACAATTGGTAAAAGTGACATCAGTTCAGTTTAAATGTTCATTATTCTGAACCGGCTAGCTGCAGTACTCTTTCGTCGACAAGAATAATTTAGAAACAGAGTAGAATAGAATAAAAATATTAACAAATTCAAGCTAAAGGGAAGTTACTCGCTCGATTCTGAACGTGATAAAAATGTGCGAAGTAATAGCACAGCAAAGAAGCTTTTTACTATCTTATTATTTAGAACTATATAATTAAAACTGAACTGACGAAATTCACAGAGGAAAAAGAGGGGAAAAAGGAAGAAATGAGAAAACTGCGGTCAGCAACGAAATTAGCGGGAAACGAATTATG